CCATATTGAAATCAAATCTGATGCTTTTTAAATTTTTATTTGGTGTGCGTTGTAAGAGGGGTAGTCTTATATGGCGAATATATCCAAAATTTTAACTGAAAACGTTGGGGGTCGTCTTATACGCCCAGTTGTCTTATATGCCGGAATATATGGTACTTTAACTTTTATATATAAGTGTGGATAGATGATCTCACATCAACTGCTATGAAAACATTCTATGGAATCCTGGGATTTGTACTTTGGCGGAACACTAGAGCTCTCTGGCTAAGAATCATAAACATCTTCTTCTCAATTACATACCTACAGATTCCACAGGATGTTGCTATGGCAGTTAAATGGAATCACATCACTATATTGTATAGTGTGAATGAGCCCTATTCAAATAATTCATAGGTGTTTATACTATTGTCAAATGTTCCAGGTTGTCTGACAACTATGTTAAAAACTCTCCAATTTCACAGGTACTCTTTTGCCACAAACCAATTTGTACCATGTTCCATAATTGTCCATGCTTGCTGGGTTTTCAGTCTCTCTCTGTATTATCAAGATTTTCTTCCTCCTATGCAGAACTAGTGCATCCAACAAAATTCTCTTTCCAGTAGAGGAAATGTTAGTGAAGTCTGTAGGAGAGAAACGGCCAAGTGTTATACGTTGAATATATTAAAATGTTATCAATAAAGCTAGGCCAGTAGGAGACTAATGAGAGTAGGAGAAAAGAGAGATATGAGAAAGCAGAAATGAGACGGACAATGAGGAAGCGCAGGACAAAAGGCAATACAGGTCAGTGCAACAAAAAGGAAAGCTGAAAAGGTAGAAAATGGAAGAGTAAAGCAACAAAAAAACCCCATGAACAATTATATATAACTTTTAAAGGCACTAAATGCTTTTTAATCTTTGGCAGAACTTTAAAAACTTTATCCCACCCCCCCTTTCTCCCTGCAGCCCCTTTGCAGGTATGTGCCTTCAAGTTGCAGGGCTAGTAATAAAAGGGTCTCTCATTCATAGGTTGTGTGCATCTGTGTGTGCCTTCAAGTTGCCTGTCAATTTTTTGCAATCATATTAATTTCACAGGATTCTCTCAGACAAGAAATATTCAGAGGTGGTTTTTCACTGCCTTCTGACATATAGCCTATAGCACCTTGTCTTCCTTGCTGATCTTCCATCCAAGTGCTAATTAGAGCTGACCCTGCTTAGCTTCTAAGCTCAGACAGGATTTGGTGCTTTCAGGGTATTTAGGCCCACTCCAGTTGTCGTGCTCAGAGGCAAAAGGGAAGTCTGAAGCTGCGCAACACATATGATAGAAACATGGAAAGTTTTACTTATTTTGTTTCAAAAGCATTGTATACACTAGTATGAAACTAATAAAAATAGAAGGAGCACAAGTAGCTAAATAATTTTTGACCAAAAATGGGCAATAGCGACTGCATTGTCTGTAGCTTTAAACTATTCTTCCTATGTACATGAGGCAGGGCATTGTGGACAAGCATACAGGTGCAGAGTTGTTTGTTCTGCTCCACAGTCACACAAGATGGAGGATTTTTCATATGGAAAATGAAAAGCATGATACTGAAATCAAATTTTAACAAAAATATGCCAACAAAACAGTGGCCCACATATGGGAAATGCTTAATACAATGCAAACTCAAAGAGAGGGACACTGGGTATTTAAGTAACTTACATATTCATCTATAGGTGGACCTCACATATAAGTTGAGGGCAGGTTTGAGGGCCAAAATAATGTATTTTGCTATGGTATATGGATAAGTTGAGAGACATTTCACAGAGAGGTGAAAGCACCAGTGTTATCTCCAGGGAACATTTTCCTACCAAGACATTCAAAAAGGCCAGAGGAAGAGATAATATATGAGCTTGGTGCTTCTTTTAACTCCCCCTAGGACCTACTAAACCTTCTCTTTTTGCCACTCTGTCCAGAGAAATACCTTCTGTGTTAATTGTTAAGGAACACTACTTACATCAGTGCACTAATAAATTGACCCCTTTTAAGCTGCATTTTTACTAAAAATTTCTAGACTAGTAGGATATTTTTATTAATTTCCCATGCAATCAAAATAATGCTCAAAATTTTATAACAAAGACTCTGATCGTATAGGGAGCAAGAAATGTCAGGTGCCCAAGATGAGTTGAGGAAAGGAAGGGGCATGAAGAGTCATATAGTAAACATATGTTGGATAATGGAGTGCACCATAGAATGTCAGAAGAAAATCAAGGTGTGCTTTGATAATTATCACACAATAATAATCATAGAATCATAAAGTTGGAAGAGACTTTATGGGTCATCCAGTTCAACCCCATTCTGCCAAGAAGCAGGAGAATTGAATTCAAAGCACCCCTGACAGATGGCCATCCAGCCTCTGTTTAAAAGCCTCCAAAGAAGGAGGCTCCACCCCACCCTGGGGCAGAGAGTTTCACTGCTGAACAGCTCTCACAGTTAAGAAGTTCATCCTTATGTTCAGGTGGAATCTCCTTTCCTGTAGTTTGAAGCCATTGTTTCTCATCCTAATCTCCAGGGCAGCAGTAAACAAGCTTGCACCCTCCTCCCTATGACTTCCCCTCACATATTTATACATGACACTCATCATGTCTCCTCTCAGCCTTCTTTTCTGCAGGCTAAACATGCCCAGCTCTTGAAGCTGCTCCTCGCAGGGCTTGTTCTCCAGACACTTGATCGTTTGAATTGCCCTCCTCTGGACACACTCCAGCTTAGAGTCCACATTTCCCTTAAACTGCGGTGCCCAAAACTGGACACAGTATTCCAGTATTCTGACCAAGGCAGCAGAGAGTGGTAGCATGACTTCCCTGGTTTTAGACACTATACTCCTATTTATGCATGCTAAAACCCCATTGGTTTTTCAAAAATGAAAAGCCATAACTTGCTCTTAAAGGAATGGCTGTGACACACAATCTTTACTCAGGACAAGAGGCTACCCAAAGGGCGGAATAGGAAGAAATGGAATGGTTCCCAATTGGGAAGAGCTGCAGCAATAATTCCACAGCAGTCAGGCTAGCAGAAGTTACTAAGGAAACAAAACTAGGCCCCTTTTATGGTTTATATTGCAGTGTGGACTCAGATAATTCAGTTCAGGGATGAGACAGCTTGGGCCCTCCAGGTGTTTTCGACTCCAAACTCCCTCAATTCCTGACAGACTACAAGTATTTGTTTATTTACTGTATTTATATACCGCCTTTCTCAGCCCGAAGGCGACTCAAAGCGGTTTAATAGGCACAATTTGATGCCCCAACAAGATAAATTACCGTTAAAACAATTAACATATAATATAAAACCAGTAAAAACGTAAGTCTTCAGCGTCCCATTACTAAAAACATTTTCCTATCGCATCGTCCAGTCATTCCGTGGGTCTAAATTTGCCAGTTACACTGCATTTTGCAAGAGCTTGTTTGAAAAGCCAGGTTTTGACTTGTTTTTGAAATGTTAGGAGGGAGGGGGCTGAGCTATTTATTTATTTTATTTTATTTATTTACAGCTTTTATATTCCGCCCTTCTCACCCCGCAGGGGACTCAGGGCGGATTACAGTGTACACATATATGGTAAACATTCAATGCCAATTTTGACATACAAACATATACAGACATACACAGAGGCTATTTAACTTTTTCCGGCTGCCAGGGGAGCTGTCGCTTTCATCGTTCATCTGTGACGCTGATGAAGTACTTCTGCATTCCCCGCATACTTCCCCGCTGGAATGCTTTGCTGGAGTTCTGTATGCCAAGATTGGTTCAATTCCATCATTGGTGGAGTTCAGAATGCTCTTTGATTGTAGGTGAACTATAAATCCCAGCAACTACAACTCCCAAATGACAAAATCAATTTTTGTTTAGTGAAGGAAATACATTGTTAAGTGTCTTGTGTCCAAATTTGGTGTCAATTCCCACAGTGGTTTTTGAGTTCTGTTAATCCCACAAACGAACATTACATTTTTATTTATATAGAAGATGATCAGTATTTTGGGTTTTTTTGGCTTTTAAAGTCTCTTTTGCTGTGTTTTAAAATATTTTTTATGTGTGATGGTCACTTGTTGACCTGAGAGGTGTCCAAATTTGGTGTCAACTGCCTCTCCCTGGATTCGAATGTGCGACCTGTCGGTCTTCAGTCCTGCTTATTTATTTTATATTTATTGTGTCATCAGCAACCATACCATTGTGTTACAATTCTAACAGAACAAAACAAACACAGAGATTAAAAAGAAAAAGAAAGAAAGAAAAAAAAACACAGATTTTGCAAACTTGGTAGTTGGTTAAATGTCCTTTGACCAGTATCTGGCCACTTGGAGTGCCTCTGGTGTTGCTGCAAGAAGGTCCTCCATTGTGCATGTGGCAGGGCTCAGGTTGCATTGCAGCAGGTGGTCAGTGGTTTGTTCTTCTCCACACTCGCATGTCAAGGATTCCACCCTGTAGCCCCATTTCTTAAGATTGGCTCTGCATCTCCTGGTGCCAGAGCGCAGTCTGTTCAGCACCTTCCAAGTTGCCGTCTTCTGTGTGCCCAGGGGGGAGTCTCTCATCTGGTATCACCCATGGATTGAGGTGCTGGGTTTGGGCCTGCCACTTTTGGACTCTTGCTTGCTGGGGTGTTCCAGCGAGTGTCTCTATAGATCTTAGAAAACTATGTCTTGATTTAAGTCGTTGACGTGCTGGCTGATACTAGGATAAGCATTATTATATTATTATTATATTATTATTATTAATATATCAGTATCAGTAATACATTATTAGTAGTATTAGTGTACTAATAGGAGACTAATAGGAAACTGTGGAGACTAATAGGAAACACACCCACCCCGCCTTCGCCCTCTGAGGCGAATGAGGCAAAGGAAGGGAAAGGAAAGGAAAGAAAGAAGCGCGGAGAGCTTTGCCGTTGGGCGCGCGCGCAGGAGCGAGAGAGGGCGCATGCGCACAGCGGAAGGATTCGAAGGTCGGGGTAGGACGACACACACACGCACAGAGAAAAAAAGAAGATCCCTCCGCGCCTGTGACCCGCCGCCAGAGACTGAGGCAGGCGGAGGTGGGAGAAGAAGAAGAAGAAGCCCCGCCCCCTGGCCTGCGCCGCTCCTCCTCCTCCTCCTTTTCCCCCCTCCTCCTCCTCCTCCTCCTCCTCCCCCCAGCCGGGTGTGAGGAGGGGGCACCCCGAGGGTTGCTTGGCCTTCCTTCCTTCCTTCCTCCCTTTCCCCCTCCCCTCCCGCTCCTCCCTCCTCCCCCTCCCCCTCAGGTGGGGATCGTTTCGAGAAGCCCGTCCCAGCGTCCTTTGCGGCCCCAACATGGAGGAGCTGGCGGTGGAAGTGCGCGGCTCCAACGGGGCCTTCTACAAGGTAAGGCCTCGCTCGCCCGCCCGCCCTCAACCCGGATGGGGAGCTACAACAGGCATGGACAGGCTCGGGCCCTCCCTCAGCGGGTTTGGGACTCCAACTCCCACCATTCCTAACAGACTCAGGCCCCTTCCTTTTCCCCCTCAGACGCTTAAGCGGCTGAGGGGGAAAAGGAAGGGGCCTGAGGCTGTTAGGAATGGTGGGAGTTGGAGTCCAAAACCCGCTGAGGGAGGGCCCAAGTTTGCCCATGCCTCATCTATAAGTTTGGGGCTTTGTTTGTGTTGGTATAAAACCCCTTTTCATCAATACATTGTATCCCCCCTAAAAAAAATAACATTAAGCCAGGTAAGGCGTGTATGTCCCTCTCTCAATGTCTATATTTAGATACATAACAATAATAATAAACTTTATTGTGTTGGTAGTAATAATAATAATAATAATAATAAACTTTATTGTGTTGGTAGAAAAGCCCACTTTATCAATACATTGATAAAAAAAACATTAAGCCAGGTAAGGCATATATGTCCCTCTCTCAATGTCTATATTTAGATACATAATAATAAAAATAAAAATAATAAACTTTATTGTGTTGGTAGAAAAGCCCACTTTATCAATACATTGTATCCCCCCCCTTAAAAGAAAAACATTAAGCCACGTAAGGCGTGTATGTCCCTCTCTCAATGTCTATAGCCAGGTGAGGCGTCTATGTCCCTCTCTCAATGTCTATATTTAGATAAATAATAATAAAAATAAAAAGGCAACAGCTAAGGGTATCCTGTATTGATCCTGCAACATCCTGGCATTCCAGAGAGGGTGGCAGCGAAGGAAGAGTTCTGGTGACATAAATAAACTCTGAGCCCCTCAAAGTATTAAAGTTGCCCCACATTCCTTTATTGTGTTGGTAGAAAAGCCCACTTTATCAATACATTGTATCCCCCCCTTAAAAAAACAACAACATTAAGCCAGGTAAGGTGTGTATGTCCCTCTCTCAATGTCTATATTTAGATACATAATAATAATAAACTTTATTGTGTTGGTAGAAAAGCCCACTTTGTCAATACATTGTATCCTCCCCTAAAAACAACAACATTAAGCCAGGTAAGGAGTATATGTCCCTCTCTCAATGTCTATATTTAGATGCATAATAATAATAATAAAAATAATAATAATAAACTTTATTGTGTTGTTAGAAAAGCCCACTTTATCAATTCATTGTATCCCCCCCTAAAAAACAAATAAACATTAAGCCAGGTAAGGCGTGTATGTCCCTCTCTCAATGTCTATATTTAGATACATAATAATAATAATCATCATCTTTATTGTGTTGGTAGAAAAGCCCACTTTATCAATACATTGATTAAAAAAACATTAAGCCAGGTAAGGCGTATATGTCCCTCTCTCAATGTCTATATTTAGATACATAATAATAATAATAATAAACTTTATTGTGTTGATAGAAAAGCCCACTTTATCAATACATTGTATCCCCCCCTAAAAAAAAACAAACATTAAGCCAGGTAAGGCGTGTATGTCCCTCTCTCAATGTCTATATTTAGATAAATAATAATAAAAATAAAAATAATAAACTTTATTGTGTTGGTAGAAAAGTCCACTTTATCAATACATTGTATCCTTCCCTAAAAAAACAACATTAAGCCAGGTAAGGCGTATATGTCCCTCTCTCAATGTCTATATTGAGATACATAATAATAATAATAAAAATAATAAACTTTATTGTGTTGGTAGAAAAGTCCACTTTATCAATACATTGTATCCCCCCCTAAAAAAACAAACATTAACCCAGGTAAGGTGTGTATGTCCCTCTCTCAGTGTCGATATTTAGATACATAATAATAATAATAAACTTTATTTGTACCCTGCCACCATCTCCCCAATGGGGACTCGGAGCGGCTTACATGGGGCCTAGCCCGAACAAGAATTAAAATATAACAATACTGCTTTGATTTGGATGGAAAATAGGAGAAAGGCAAGTCAGAAGTATGTGCATCAATAGGAGCATAGTGTCTAGATCTAGGGAAGTCATGCTACCCCTCTATTCCGCTTTGGTTAGACCACACCTGGAATATTGTGTCCAATTCTGAGCACCACAATCCAAGAGAGATATTGACAAGCTGGAATGTGTCCAGAGGAGGGCGACTAAAATGATCAAGGGTCTGGAGAACAAGCCCTATGAGGAGCGGCTTAAGGAGCTGGGCATGTTTAGCCTGAAGAAGAGAAGGCTGAGAGGAGATATGATAGCCACGTATAAATATGTGAGAGGAAGCCACAGGGAGGAGGGAGCAAGCTTGTTTTCTGCTTCCCTGGAGACTAGGATGCGGAACAATGGCTTCAAACTACAAGAGAGGAGATTCCATCTGAACATGAGGAAGAACTTCCTGACTGTGAGAGCTGTTCAGCAGTGGAACTCTCTGCCCTGGAGTGTGGTGGAGGCTCCTTCTTTGGAAGCTTTTAAACAGAGGCTGGATGGCCATCTGTCAGGGGTGATTTGAATGCAATATTCCTGCTTCTTGGCAGGGGGTTGGACTGGATGGCCCATGAGGTCTCTTCCAACTCTTTGATTCTATGAATACAAATTGCAATAAAATAAACAACATAACATTAAAATAAAACATCAAAGCATATAAAACAATATACACAGAACATAGGAACTAAACATAAGATACATAAGGAGAGAAAGAAGGAAGTAATATACACCATAAAATTACTATAAAAAACAAAGAGGGAAAATACGTTTTGGGGTGTGTTTGAGGAGTTTGTGAACATATTGTATTTCCCACAATATTAAGCCTATCAATCCCTCTATATCTATATGTATCTGTATAAATAAAAATGTAATGTACGTTTGTGGGATTAATATAACTCAAAAAGCATTGGACGAACGGACACTGAATTTGGACACATTACATCTATCAGGCCAATGAGTGGCCATCACTCATAAAAACACTGAACCCTCTATATATCTATATAAATAAAAATGTGATATATGTTTGTGGGATTAATATGACTCAAAAAGCACTGGACGAACGGACACCAAATTTGGACACAATACATCTATCAGGCCAATGAGTGGCCATCACTCATAAAAACACTGAACCCTCTATCTATATAAATGTAATGTACGTTTGTGGGATTAATATAACTCAAAAAGCACTGAATGAACTGACACCAAATTTGGACTCAGTGAGTGGCCATCACTCATAAAACACTGAACCCTCTATATATCTATATAAATAAAAATGTAATGTATGTTTGTGAAATTAACATAACTCAAAAAGCATTGGACTAACTGACACCAAATTTGGACCCAATACATCTATCAGGCCAATGAGTGGCCATCACTCATAAAAACACTGAACCCTCTATATATCTATATAAATAAAAATGTAATGTACGTTTGTGGGATTAATATAACTTAAAAACCACTGGATGAACTGACACCAAACTGACATCAGGCCAATGAGTGGCCATCACTCATAAAAACACTGAAAAACACTGTGGAAGAGAATTAAAAAGCCAAAAAACAAAAAAAACAAAAACACATATATACACAAATATACATATATACATATACACAAATATATACAGACATATATGCATATATATATACTCACAAAACATATATACAGAAAGGGGGAGGGAAAGAAGGAGGGAAGGAGAGAAGGAAATAAAGTGATAGAAGAAAGGAAAGAAGGAAGGAAAGAGAGAAGGGACGGAAGTCAGAAAGAGGGAGGGAAGGAAAGAGAGAAGGATTGAACCCGAGAGCAAAGGAAGTGAGGAAATAAAAATGTAGAGAAGGAAGAAATAAGAAGGGAAAGAAAAAGAGGGAAGAAAGGAGAGAAAGAGGGAGGGAAGGTTGGCCATGGCAATGCATGGCGGGTACAGCTAGTACACAATAAAAATTACTATAAAAAACAAAGAGGGAAAATAAGTTTTGGGCTGTGTTTGAGGAGTTTGTGAACATATTGTATTCCACACAATATTTAGCCAAGCAAGGCCTATCAATCCCTCTATATCTATATAAATAAAATGTAACGTATGTTTGTGGGATTAACATAACTCAAAAACTTCCTCTCTCAATATATATATTTACTTATGTACATGCATACATAGTTTTGACTTGTGTTTAAGGAGTTCATGAATACTCTGTATTCCCCATAATATTAGGCCAGGTAAGGTGTATCTGTCCCTCACACTCTCTCTATGTGTGTGTGTATCTATATATATCTATATAGATATAGATACACACACGTATATGTGTGTGTGTGTGTGTATACACATACATACATACCTACAAACATAGAAAAGTCACATACATGATAAAATTATTAAAAGAAATAGGGGAAATAAGTTTTGGGCTGTTTGAGGGGTTCGTCAATATCTTGTATTCCACACACTATTAAGCCAGGTAAGACTTATCTGTCCCCTTCTCATTATATATTTATTTATTTACACACATTCATAGAAAAAATGAGAGAAAGAGTGAGGTGACATACATAATAAAACCATTGAAAGAAAGAGGGAAAATGAGTGTTGGAATACCTTGTATTCGCCACAATATTAAGCAAGGTAAGGCTTATCTGTCCCTCTATATATATTTATTTACATACATATATAGTAAGAGAAAGAAAGATGGAAGTGATATACATAATAAAATTATTAAAACAAAGAAAAAAAGGGAAAATTAGTTTTTGGTTGTGTTTGAGGAGTTCATGGATACATTGTATTCCCCATAATATTAAGCCAGGTAACACTTATTTGTCCCTCTCTCAATATATAAACCTTCAAAAGGTGGGCCAAAAGTCACAAAGGGTTTTCTATTTTTAACATTGTTTTGTTTTAAAGTTACAATACTATAGCACCATATGAAGTATATATAGGAAATAGTTACATTAGATGTAAAATCTTTTCAATCCCCCAAAGATTATTAAAACATCCCATGCCTCTGACTATAGCCCCACCCACCTTATGTTTATGTGTGAAAA